CCACCGTACCGATATTCGGAACGAACAGTTCTCTCTTCTGAAATATGTCCCGTCATTGAATTATACATCATTGAATGTAGAATTAAATTCCGCATAAAATGATGTATAAATGATGGACGGGACATATTCTTGAAGAGAGAAAATAGCCGTTGAAATCTCTCAACGGCATATTTTTTACCGTCGTACCGATATTCGGAACGAATGGTTCTCTCTTCCAAAATATGTCCCGTCAATGAATTATACATCATTGAATGCAGAATTAAATTCTGCATAAAATGATGTATAAATGATGGGCGGGACATATTTGTGAAGAGAGAAAATAGCCTTTGAAATATCTCAACGGCATATTTTTTTTCCATCGTGCCGATATTCGGAACGAACGGTTCTCCTTTCTGAAATATGTCCCGTCATTGAATTATACATCATTGAATACAGAATTAAATTCTGCATAAAATGATGCATAAATGATGGACGGGACATATTTTTGAAGAGAGAAAATAGCCGTTGAAATATCTCAAGGGTATATTTTTTTTTGTCTTGTGGCAATATTCGGAAGGAATGGTTCTCCATTCAGAAATATCTCCCGTTTATGAGTTATATATCATTGGATGCAGAATTAAATTCTCTAGAAGTAGACGTATAACTCGTGTCCGGGCAATGGATAGTGTGGTGCACAAATCGATTTTTTGTGAAAATTGTGCACTTTTGTTTCGTCGTGCTAGCTTCACACGCATTTCTGTTGCTAAGGCCGCCATTTCCAAAGAATTGACCTCCGCTTGGAGTTTTTTTCTTTTTGGATTTTATGATTGGTGATTCATAGGACCAATTAACTTTTGTGGCTCGTCGTGGTAATTCGTTGTGTTGTGCTAGCTTCACATCGATCGTTCTGATCGACTTTTAATTAACAACATTAATACGACAAAATCAACACATGGGGTTTGTTATACACAAATGGATGAATACCTATATGCGTGATAGTTACCACCAATTTTTCATTGAATATAATAATGTAAATTTCAACAGTATCAGTATAATCTCGTTCTTACATGCACTTTTATTAATTTATTTTAACGTCCATTTATTTTATTTATTTATTTTTTTTTAAATTAATAAATTAATACTAACTTAGATGATTATTCTGTTTATTTTCTCTCAAAGAATAACATTATAATAACACGATAAAAACATGCCATTATAGTCTTCTATTGCGTAATTCGTATATGGCCAATTCTTTCGAATGTTATCAACTTAATTAGAAATTTCTCAATAGATTTGTGGAAATCCTTTTTGAACATGATTTTCTATTCTGTACTCATTGAGTTCTGTATTACTTTAATATTAAATAGACTTCAGCAGAGTTGCAACGGGACGGGTTTTTTATAATCGATCCGATCCAGTCTGAATCCGACGAGTTCGTTTTTAAAGCCAAAATAGCGAAAATCTGGCAAAATAATGAAACCCAAAAAGAGCTTGTTGACGGAAAATAGTGAGCGGAGTAAGATTTTCGATATTTACACGTAGAAATTTGAAATACAGATGCCCAAACATAGGGAAAACCATCTTTATCATATCAAATCGTAAAATATCGCCTTGTCAAGCTGAACATTGATAGACATGAGCCGATCAAATCATATCCGATCACTCGTCGTTATTTGAAAAGCATTAAAAGGCAAGTTCAACAAAAACTGTCACGACACATACATGTCTTTCTTTTTCCCTACTAAGAGAACTTTCCAAATATACCAAGACAGACGAACCGCTTAATTTAAGGAGATACGATCGTCAGCAGAGAGAGAGACCATTAATAGAAAAAAAGCGTGAGCTTCTTTCATCATCATCTGATGTTCCTGTTAACCAGATCCGCCGGAATTTGTTCGAGTCGATTCCATTATGTTTTGATCGAAATTGGCAGTTGTTGTCGAAAAACTCCAATAACTTCGACTAGAACCCTATTACAAGAAACACATCGGAACATTATGGAACCTACTAATTTTGTTCACTGTCCGACCACTTCCGTATCAATCCAGCAGTCAGAATGATCGATACAGACCTTCTCGTTCTCATCTCTTATACATTTCGCCTGTCTCTAATTAATACAATCGTTGCACTCAATCAGTTATTGCTCTTGCAACTGGAATCGTTCTGTCGAAGGGCAATCAATCTCTCGCTTCTTTCTAGCCATTTCTCATTTGGCATATCATTCTATCCATCTTTTCAATCATGAATACGGAAAAAATCTCGTTTTTCAATGAAAAACTATCAAACACAAACAATATTTTGCAATAGTGAACTAGCGAAAATTCCGTTTTGACTTATTGCCCATTCCGGTCGGAGTGGACCAGAACAGTATTAACTCTTGACTTCAGTCAACTGCTAAATTTCTTATTATTTATGCAAGAGCTGTTTTTGATGATGCATACAGAATACTAGAAGAAAAATAAAACTATTTTACTACCAATAAATAGGCTGCTAGCTTGTGTTAACACATTCTTTTCTTAAAATCTTAGTTTTCTATTCATTTATTCTTTCTAAAATGTAATATTACGATACGCAATTAATGTTAGAGATACCAGTAAGAATAGAATTTATTTTCATTTAGAAGATTAGAATTTTTCATAAATTTTATTCGAATCTCAGCTATCGCTCTAATATATCAATTTGAAATCTTTCAATCAAATAATAGACAATAAATTTCTTGTTTCAATATATACATTCTATAGAAAATCAAATTTATTCAAGTAACAATTCAAAATACTCATACTACATGTATCTCTTTATCAAGAAAATAATTTTTGAAATGTTTTGGAAATCGAGATATTCTATCAAGACATATATATCTCATTTTACTACAATTAACTCGTGTTGCATTACGTGTAAAATTGTGTGTAACTCTTTGTAAAGATTTAAAATCAGTAAAAAGCACAATATCATATGGTAAACATGTTTTGGTATCAAGTAGAAATTGTTCAATATAATCATTATGAGTTTGTTTGAAATCAAGATATTTAAGATAAGGATATCGAATAAGTAAATCTTCATTGTTATTATTTGATTTTCTATATTGTTTATTGTTTTGTCCTTTTTGATTAGTAATAGTTAAGTTTTTCAAAAATGGAAATGATTGAGCAATTTGAATAAAAAATTCATATTCAAAAGGATGTTCATCAAATAAAGATACAGCACTAACATATCGAAATAATCCACCTGGAAAATTATTTGAGATATTTTGATAAGTTGGAATTAGGTACGGACAAGAATAGATATGGCATGCACCATATTTTGCTTCGAAAAAATAATTAACACAAGAAATTATTTTATTATTTGAAAAATCTTTAAATGAATGTTCAATATCTTCATTTGATGGTAAATCAATTTGATCTTTTAGTAATATAGTTGAATGAATACTAAATCCAAATTGATTTAATTCTGGCATATAATCAATGATATTTTGCTTTAAATTATTTCCATCAATAAATTTCTTATCACAAACCACCGGTGACAAATACAAAGCAAGTTCTTCTAAATTTGACATTCGATGTAAAAGTCGTATGATTATGTTATCATAGAAACGAATTTCAGAAAAACAATACAATGAAAAACATCGCAAATTTGGAAGTTTTTCCTAAAAAAACAGAATAAACAGACGTTAGTGATGCTTAATAAAAACTTACTTTATTTATTTTGAAGTTTGATTTAGGTAATGAAGATGCTATATCTACATAGAATGCTCGAAGTTGATTGAAACGACCATCAAGTAAAAAAAGACAATCATCAACTGAGGTAACTTTGACACGCAATTCTAATAGAGTGGATGAAAAGACAGTTGGAAGTAAATATCCGAATGAGATCCGTTGAAAAGAAGAAAACCATGAATGAAACTTAAAATATTGTAAATTGATAAAGGTATTTAAGATATTTGTAAATATACGTGTATTCACATCTCGTGGTCTACCTTGGTTACTACTAGATTCAATCATGAGTGATGAAATTTGATTTTTTAATATATACATTAAAGAAGTTTCATCTAAAAATAAACACAAGATTATTGTAAAAAAGCGGTGTCTCTCAACGTCTGTGATGTATCGTTATTAAGAAAATTTGTCATCATCTCTTAAGAGCGATACTGCTAAGGTATCGGTCACAATAGGTGATAAACCATTTCTTATATCTGTGGATGAGGGATAGGGAATCGAAATTTTATGCTCTATACTTCAGAATTCCTTTTAGATCATGTTTCACAAAAGATTATTCTTCGTTTTATATAAACAAAATAGAAATGAAATGTGTAATCCTCTAACTAAATCATTGGAATTTTCATCTATTAATTCTTATAAGAATTGAGATAAAAATATCTTACCAGTAAATATATCTAAATCAGTGTCTTTTTCAATGTTGTATATACCAAGTCCAGATAAAATCGGATAAGTTGCACAAAGAATACGTTTCATAGATGATGTTTCAACATCAATCCATTTGATTTTGTGATGAATGGAAGGTAAGATTTGGAAACAAAATCGATCAAGCATTAAATCAGATAA